GGTTGTAATAAGCAGCCCAGTCATCCTTTGGACCAATCTTTTTTAAAGTGTGATTGGGGATTGGCAAGTGAGAACCACACATGGCAGTGATTTCAATAGCAGAGAGTAGCATGATCTGCTCTACTTAATCTCAGATCATTATATGTATTTATTGTTTATCTTGAAAGGGACTACCAGATCATCAGTCGGTGAAACAACTGGAGCACCAAGCAGTGAGGTGACACCATCTGAAGGCAAGCCAGGTGATTAGAAAACATCATTCAATAGCCAGGATTTTGTCTAAAATAACAGTGTTTTATCAGAACCCTGCTGATATCACTCAGTATCAACTAATCAAACACCACTCAACAATAAATATAGAACTATATAAAAATTACTAACTTTCTGAAGATTTTTATTTTTCTGGTTTCTCCAGTTCTCCCCAGAAACACTGTTTGTGTTGTCAAAATGACAATATGCTCTTTCATTTTTGTGTTTCTCAGGTGTGACCAGAGAGCCTGTTTCAACTACCACTAGGACTGGCAGTAGAAGCACAGCAAAGCTATTATTCCGTGGCTACAGCACAGCTGGGAAGCCAGCAGGCAAGGCTCAGGACCCTGGGTGCTCTGGTGGTGATGCAACATAAGCTCAACTGAGATCTCAAATTCTTATGAGGAGTCTGAGTTAATTAACCAGGGCTATGGCTTTAATGGGGAGCTCTGGTAGCATAGTGGCTAAAGCACTTGACTGCTAACCAGAAGGCTGGAAGTTCATACCCACCAGCCACTCCTCAAACTCTTGTGAGGAGTCTGAGTGAATTAACCAGGGCTATGGCTTTAATGGGGAGCTCTGGTAGCATAGTGGCTAAAGCACTTGACTGCTAACCAGAAGGCTGGTGGTTCAAACCCACCAGCCACTCCTCGGAAGGAAGGTTGGGCAATCCTACTTCCGTAGTGATACTGCCTCGGAAACCCAAGGAGCGGTCGCTATGAGTCGGGGCCGACTCGACGGCACATAACAAGAACAACAACAACATGGCTTTAATGAGGAAGCTAAAGCTTTAATGAGGGGGTGATAGCTTTAATGAGGAGTCTTGATGGCATGGTAGTTAAGTGTTCAGCTACTAAGCAAAAGGTAAGAAGTTCAAACCCACCAGCTACTTTGTGGGAGAAAGATGTACCAGTCTGGAATCTCTTGTAAAGAGTCCAGCTTTAGAAAACTTATGGGGAAAGTTCTACTTTGTCCTGTATGGTCACTATGAATTAGAATCAATTCACCACCAACGGGTTTGGCTGCTAACAAAAAGTGTTGTGGTCAGAGTCCACAAAACACACCTCAGAGTAAAGACCTGGTGATCCACTTCTGAAAAATCAGCCTCTGAAAACCTTTTACTCTGACACACACATGGGGTCGCCATGACTTGGAATCAATGTGATGGCAGCTGGAAATGGCTTTAATGGTATAGTTTTAGGCATTTGTTCATGGGAAATTTAATTCTTAGGTTTTCGCATAATCCCCACAAATACATCCTGAATTTTTCCAAAGAGTATGTTTTCCTAAGCATCTATGAATACTGGGTTGCCAGATAAAATACAAGGTATGAGTTCAATTAGAATTTCACATAAACCACAAACCCACTGATTTTGTGTCAATTCTGACATATAGCAACCACACAGGACAGAGTACTACTTTGTTCATAGTTTCCAAAGCTGTAAATCTTTATGGAAGAGACTGCCTCACTTTCCTTCTGTGGACCAGCTGGTGGGTTTGAACTGCTGACCTTTGATGAGGAGGCAAATGCCTTAACCACTACATCACCAGAGTTTGTGAATTTCATATAAGTAAGAAGAAATATATTTTAATATAAGTGTGACCCATGCTATAATTGGGACATAGTTGCTCATTGTTTATCTGGAATTCAAATTTAACTGGATGTCTTCTCTTTTTATCTGCTACATTGACAAACCTCAGTATAGTCTGAGCAGCTTTGCTCTTTTCAATTAGGAACAACTGGAGGAGAAAATGCAGCCACCACTGAAGCCGCTGGTGAAAACACTCCTGGAGCATCAGGTACTGAACAAGCATAACCAGCACTGAATCCAACAGTGCAAATGTGATTTCTTTTCTTAATATTTTGTCAAAGATGAAGTTTCCTGGGAAATTTATTTTTTATTATTATTTGTGTAAAGTCAAAACTGCAGAAGATCAGAAATCTATCAAGGAATATTTTGTATGTAACATGGGTACTCCAGAGGATGTGAGAGGAAAAGAGTAAGGCACTTGTGAATTTAAAAAAAAAAAAAAATCTTAAAGGGTAAAAAATAATGTTTGTATACATGTCAAAGGCAAACAACCACACAAAGCAGAAGATAATTATAATCAGAGTCAAGTATTGAACTAGAAATTCTAGAGGCAATTTCTAATAAGAAGAGCACTGATTAGGTGAGGGTGAAAAACCACAGAACTATTATACTTTTAAATGATATGGTATTGTAATCAGGGCAATATCAGCTATATTTTTATTTCCTAAATCTGAAAAATCTATATTCCTTATCTTGAGCAAAAAACTCAAAACACGAGTAAGCTGAGTGAAATATTAGAGATATGTTCATTTTCCAAGTGGAATTGAGTAATATTTAAGCTGAAAGAACTAGTGAGACAAATTGTTAAAGATAACCTATCAAGAAAATGGTGAAGGCCTAAATTAGAATCTCTGTACATCTCCTTCTATAAACCACAAAGATTAACAAAAAATCTTACCATATAAACAGGGGACAGAGAATATTAAGATCTCATTGATTAAGAAAGATGGTTCTGAGTACCACCATGGACCTAAGATTCAAGTAAAGACCCTTTAGAATAAAAGAATGCATTTAATGCCTATATTTAATGTTACTATTTCATACCTAATAATGGCTGAACATAGAGACCATCAATTAGTTTGACCCTCAGAAGGAAAGGACTAAATCTTAATAGAAAATGTTGAGAAAAGATTTGAGAACTGGTGTGTCAGTGTACTGGCAAATGTGGAATTGAAAGAATATTGGAAGCATAGTGCTTAAGGCATGTGACTGCTAACCACAAGTCTAGTGGTTCAAACCCACCAGCCACTCCTCAGAACGAAGGTTGGACAAACTACTTCCATAGTGAAACCACCTCAGAAACCCAATTAGGGGTTGCTATGAGTCTGGTCTGACTCCACAGCACATAACAACATATGGAATGAAAAGTACTTTCATGGTAGGTGAATGCATCATCCCCAAAAGTTTCAAGATCTATCCTGAAATACAATGCTGTCAGTGATAGGGTGATTTCCATATACCTAAGAGGAAAATCCAGCCACTCCTTGGAAGGAAGGTTGGGCAATCCTACTCCCATAGTGATACTGCCCCTCGGAAACCCAAGGAGGGGTCGCTATGAGTTGGGTTTGACTCGACGGCATATAACAACAACAACAAGAGGAAAATCAGTTAAAACTACTATTATTCAAATTTACGCACCAACCACTGAAGCCAAAGATGAAGATATTGAAGATTTTTAGCAACATCCACAGCTGGAAATTGACCGAACATGTAATTAAGATGCATTGGTAATTATTCATGATTAGAATGTGAAAGTTGGAAATAAACTAGAAGTATCACTAGTTGGAAAATACGGCGTTGGTGAAATAAATGATGCTGGAGATCACATGATAAAATTTTGCAGGACCAGTGACTCATTCATTGCAAATACCTTTTTTCACCAACATAAATAATGACTATACACATGGACCTCACAATATGAAATGCACAAAAATCAAAATGACTACATCTGTGGAAAGAGGTGATGCTGAAGCTCAATATCATCAGGCAGAATAAGGCCAAGATCTGACAGTGGAACAGACCATCAATTGCCCATATGCACATTCAAGTTGATGCAGAAAAAAATTAAAACAAGGCCATGAGAGCCAAAATATGACTTTGAGTATATCCTACCTGAATTTCAAGACCATCTGAAGAATAGATTTATTTCATGCATTAAACACCAATGACTGATGATCAGACAAATTGTGGGGTGACATCAAGACATCATACATGAGGAAAGAAAAGTGTCCTTAAAAAGACAGGAAAGGAAGAAAAGACCAAATGGATGTCAGAAGAGATCCTGAAACTTGCTCTTGAATGGGGAGTAGATAAAGTAAATGGAATAACTGATGAAATAAAGGAGATAACCAGAAGATCTCAAAAGATGGCTCAAGAAGACAAAACCAAGTACTGAGATGTGCAAAGACCTGGAATAAGAAAACCAAAAGGGAAGAACTTGCTCAGCATTTTTCAAGCTTGAAGAACTGAAGAAAAAATTCAAACCTTAAGTTGGTATCAAAAGAATATGGAAAGAATACACAGAATCACTGCACCAAAAAAGAATTGGTCCAAGTCCAATCATTTCAGGAGAAAGCATATGATCAAGAACCAATGGTCCTAAGGAAGAAGTCCAAGCTGCACTGATGGAATGGGCATAAAACAAGAATCCAAGAATTGATGGGAAACCTATTGGGAAGTTTCAACACATGGATTCAATAGGTTTCCAGAAATTTGGAAGACAGCTAGCTACCTGGCCAACTGCCTAGAAGACATCCATATTTGTGTCCATTCCAAAGAAAGGTGATTCAAAAGAATGCAGATATTTTTGGATAATATAACTAATATCACATGCAAGTAAAATTTTGCTGAAGAAATTTCAACAATGGTTGCAACAGTGTGATGACAGGGAACTACATGAAATTTAAGCCAGATTCAGAGAGGGCATGGAATGAGGAATATTACTGCTGACGTCAGATGGATGGATCTTGGTTGAAAGCAAAGAATACCAGAAATAGGGCCCTATGGGATGGCCTCAGGCCTAAGGCAGTCACCTGCCACACCCAAGGCTGGTGGTTCAAACCCATCAGCTCCTCCCACCAGGTAGCCGGGCCCGTCTCTTTAGGAGCTCTGATAGCATAGTGCCTAAGGTATTTGACTACTAACCAGAAGGTTGGTGGTTCCAACCCACCAGCCACTTCTCGGAAGGGAGGTTGGGCAATCTACTTCCCTAGTGATACCACCTCTGAAACCCAAGGAGAAATCGTTATGAGTTGGATCCGACTCGATGGCAGTGGATAGACCAGAAATAGGTTTACCTGTGTTTCAGGTTCTATGCAGTCATTCAACTGTGTGGATCATAACAAATTATGGATAATATTGGGAAGAATGGGAATTCCAGAGCATTTAAATTGCTCATGAGGAAGGTGTACATAGACTAAGAGGCAGTCATTCCAAGAGAACCAGGGGATGTTGCATGGTTGAAAATCAGGAAAGGTGTGTGTCAGGGTTGTATTATTTCACCATACTTATCCAATCTGTGTGCTGAGCAAAAAATCCAAGAGATATGAAGAAGAATGTGGCATCAGGATTGGAGGAAGCTCATTACCTGAGATATGGAGATGACACAACCCTGCTTGCTGACTGTGAAGATGACCTGAAGATCTTATTGATGAAGGTCAAAGACTATAGCCTTCAGAATGGATTATATATTAACATGATGAAACAAAAATCCTCACAACTAGATCAATAAGAAACATCATGATAAATGGAGAAAAATGAAAGTTGTCAGGAATTTCATTTTACTTGGATCCATAGTCAATGCCCATGGAAGCTGTTGTTGTTGTTGTTGTTGTTTGCTGTCGAGTCGGCCCCGACTCATAGCGACCCCTCCTTGGGTTTCCGAGGCAGTATTACTACGGAAGTAGGATTGCCCA